AACACGGCGAGTGGAGTTTAGACCAAAAAGCTCTATTTTTGTCTCATCAGACCACATGACCTTCTCCCATTCCTCCTCTGGATCATCCAGATGGTCATTGGCAAACTTCAGACGGGCCTGGACATGCACTGTCTTGAGCAGGGGGACCTTGCGTGCGCTGCAGGATTTTAATCCATGACGGCATAGTGTGTTACTAATGGTTTTCTTTGAGACTGTGGTCCCAGCTCTCTTCAGGTCATTGACCAGGTCCTGCCGTGTAGTTCTGGGCTGATCCCTCACCTTCCTCATGATCATTGATGCCCCACGAGGTGAGATCTTGCATGGAGCCCCAGACCGAGGGTGATTGACCGTCATCTTGAACTTCTTCAATTTTCTAATAATGCGCCAACAGTTGTTGCCTTCTCACCAAGCTGCTTGCCTATTGTCCTGTAGCCCATCCCAGCTTTGTGCAGGTCTACAATTTTATCCCTGATGTCCTTACACAGCTCTCTGGTCTTGGCCATTGTGGAGAGGTTGGCGTCTGTTTGATTGAGTGTGTGGACAGGTGTATTTTATACAGGTAACGAGTTCAAACAGAGCAGTTAATACAGGTAATGAGTGGAGAACAGGAGGGTTTCTTAAAGAAAAACTAACAGGTCTGTGAGAGCCGGAATTCTTACTGGTTGGTAGGTGATCAAATACTTATGTCATGCAATAAAATGCAAATGAATTACTTAAAAATCATACAGTGTGATTTTCTGGATTTTTGTTTTAGATTCCGTCTCTCACAATTGAAGTGTACCTATGATAAAAATTACAGACCTCTACATGCTTTCTAAGTAGGAAAACCTGCAAAATCGGCAGTGTATCAAATACTTGTTCTCCCCACTGTATATAGACCAGGTGAATCCAGGTGAAAGCTATGATCCCTCAGTGATACCACCTGTTAAATCCACTTCAAATAATTGTAGATGAAAGGGAGGAGAAAGGTTAAAGAAGTATTTTTAAGCATTGAGACAATTGAGACATGGATTGTGTATATGTACCATTCAGAGGGTGAATGGGCAAGACAATAGATTTCAGTGCCTTTGAACAGGGTATGGTAGTAGGTGCCAGGTGCACCGGTTTGAGTGTGTCAAGAACTACAACGTTGCTGGGGTTTTCACGCTAAACAGTTTCCTGTGTGTATCAAGAATGGTCCACCACCCAAAGGATATCCAGCCAACTTGACACAACTGTAGGAAGCATTGGAGTCAACATGGGCCAGCATTCCTGTGGAACGCTTTCGACACTCAATGTTAGGAAGGTGTTCCTAATGTTTTGTACACTGAGTGGGCCCCCCTCAATGTCTGAGCAAGGAATTTAGCATTTCTTAAGCAATTCTACACATATTGCCACGGGGCAGTGAGAAAAATGTCCAGTTTTATATCTAATCTCATGCCATTCTACATATTTTGTAATGAGGCTGAGAGTATTTTGTATTTTTAAATCACATTTCCTGTTATTTTACATATTTTGCCATGAGGCTGAGAGAAAATGTTGCAGTTTTACAGCTAATTACGTGAGCCTCAGCACATTGGGACTCAATGCCCAATCATTGCATCTAGATGTGTCCCAGCCAGGACATCCTTTAGAACAGCTGAACCACAACCTGACTGGACAGACCGAACGCTAAGACCAGAGGAGACCTCCCAGAACTCACCTCCGACAGCCAAGTGAGTTTCTCAGGGCAAGGCCGACACGGTTTAGGGATTGACTCCCACTGTTTGCCCAGAATTTTGACGCTGCGACTCGAAGTCAAGATGAGAAGTTTCCCAAGGCATCTCAGCCATAACTATCTCTGGCCTGTTCAGCCCAGGGCAATGCCTTATGTATGACCGATACTCATCACTCATGGACTGGAGTAGTTATGGTGTATTACATAGTGGAGTGTAAGGAATTCAGACACTACATAATGTGGTTGTTTCACAATGCAGCACTTACTGTACTACATGGAAAAATGCTAAACCCAAGGCACATTTAGTTGAGGACAATCCAGTATGGTTGGAATGAAAACTATGTAATATTTCATCCTTATACATAAGACCATAGCTCAGTGACTCTTATCACTGTCAATGGATAGACTATATTCTACATTGTATAACAAACAGAATGAGGCGTATGGATCTCATCCCGTATCTTACAGTCAAGAGAAGTCAGTATGTTATCTGCACAGTAGTGTTTGAATTCCATTCCATCATTGAAAAGTTTTAGACTTGCACATTGAATACAAATAGAAAGTTGGCAGAGTGTGTGATATGTGGGGGAGTTTGTTGAGTGTAAGTACATTAGAGTTAGACCATATGTTTTGTTAGTTTGTTTTGTGCCAATTTTGTAGACTTTATTATCTTTGACAGGATGTGGCGTGGGAGTAGGCCTACCGTAGCAATAGCTCATCTGTACTCACTCTGATGGAGGGGGGCAAACCCACATGGTGCTATGGTTACCAGTGGTGTAATGATTTGTCCAAAGCGTTTTGCAAAGGAACTCCAAACAGAAAACGTTTTGCAACGAAAACAATACTTTTTATTGGACAAATTCAGGTAGGTCCCTCCCCGTTTCATTTGCTTCTGTTTGGTTCTGTTTGTTTCCTAGTGAATACCCCCTTGGGCTTCAAGTGTGTAGGGCTAGTCTGCTATCTTGGTGCTGAGCCGGTGGTTGAAATTACAGGCAAACAGAAAGAGAGGGGAGGGGTTACGGGGTGAGTCACATACCTCCATCTCAACTGGTTGGGACTGTTAAGGATGAGACCGTTTCGTTCAATGATGGATTGCTGATGCTATGTATTGGCTATTGAGAGGCTTTGAAGTCACCGGTCGGCCATATTGGCACTCCCCAGTAGGATCAGGAATTAATGGAATTCTACAGTATTTCAATTAAATGTTTCAAGGACAAAATTACATGTATTTAAGCTCTTTTTTTTAAATGGTGGGGACAGTAACATTAGTCCTCTAAAAAAATGTTACTTTAAGGAAAAAGTTTTTATATATTTTATATTGTATTATTTGTATGTTTAGCTCACATAATATAATTTAAAAGTATGCATTAAGGTGTCTGTAATAGAATAAATGTGGCAAAAACAAATGTAGATATTAATAAACCCTTTAACTGTCCTAATTGCACCATTTTTATAACCTCTGATGATTAGGAATTGAGTCTGTTGGAGAGGATCAGCTTGAGCAAAGTGAGGTGTAGAATCACTGTTCTAAAAATAGTAGTCCCTGCCAAATAATAGGCTTTGTGCAATTAAGACTCGTTTACTACCACTCCCCTGGTTTAAGAGATCCCCCCACCAAACACTCAAGCACAACCAGACATTGAATGATTGATTGGAGACAGCTTGTGTCAATTAAAGAGATTTTCCTATGAGTTTCTGCCTGCAGCAAACCCAGTGGATAATGCTGGAAATACAGGTCAAAGAAAAAAAAACTCTAAAAAGACAAGAAAAAAACGCCTGGCCCTATTTATAACAACATAAGTCCTTATCTTCCGCATCATCATCATTGGAGTTGAAAGGCAATATCTTGTTGTTCCAGGGGAGCCCTGTTGGTGAATGTTTTCAGTGGTGCCTCTATTCCTTTTAGGCCTATAAACAAACCAACCAGGACACGTTTTAGTGGCCTAATAGTGCGTGCTGCTTGCTCAACCGCAGTAAGGGCTCAGGAGCTATTGACAAAAGTCTAAAATGCTCTGTTCTGTTTATGTTCAAAGTGAATGAAAATCTTAAATAAGCAGGCTACATGTAAGTAAACAGTTGCGCAAGAGTGGAGACTTGCATAGGGTTTTTCTGTATTTGGAACCAGAGCTCTAATTGCTCTGAGGAGCAGATAGGATTACTGAATGATTCTGCGTTTCGCGGCAGGCTGACATAACGCAATCAAACAATTTTACAACATCCAGAGTCTCGCTTTCACTTATAAAGCAACCCGCTATATGCACAGTGAGAGAGAGAGAGAGAATATGCACAGAGAGAGAGAGAGAGAGAGAGAGAGAGAGAGAGAGAGAGAGAGAGAGAGAGAGAGAGAGAGAGCGTAATGGTAGAAATTACCCGTATAGACATCTGTAAAGTATTATATATGCAACTTCAGGTAGCTCAGAAAAACATGTTGCACACATTACAACGAAAATTACATTTCCACAACTTTAGAAAAAGCCAAATAAACAACCAAAAGACATGTGTTCGTTTGCAAGGGACTATGAATGACCAAGCCGTCCCTGATGTAGACCGACTTTATTATGAAGGTCTAGGTGAGAGACAGAAATATTCAAACGTATATGTTTTAAAGGAGGATGTAAACATGGTGAGCTTGGGTGATGAAATACTCCTAAATTATATGACCATTTTGACCACTGCTTTTATCTCCAGCGCTGTCATTACAAAAAAAAGCTATCCTCCTCAACAGTTGCAGTGCAACTGTTTCAACCGTTTCTTGAGTTCCAGATGTCCCCCAGAAAAAGGTACACGTTGTAATATAAGTTCCTGGGCTGCTGTCTCCCCCTATGGGCATGTACATTTTTAACCAGTAGAATAATAATTGGTTTGGTATGGATCGAATAAACATTATTATATGTCTTAGTAACTTATCTGCCGTGGCCTTTGTTTGCCGTACAGAAAATAGCCTAGGGCAGGGTCACTATATGAAAAGTATGACTTTCGACATGGGATTTCGCATGCACACAATTTCAGTTATAATGGACAAATTATTGGTAGGTCTATTTGCATGATTTTATCCTCAATGTTTTTTTTCGTCAACTATTTGCTTTTTATTTTCAGTTTTCACTGGTTGAACTTTGAAGGTGCGAGTAAAAAAACGTGAATAGCCTAGTCTATGATTAAGAATATAAACACACCTTTGTAAACCAAAATCTATTTCAGTACGTGAATTAGTATACCTATATCAATATTGTACACAAAATACATGAATGTCTACGCATAGGCTGTGTGTGTGGAGGGGAGGGGAGGGATCAAATTCCTTCAGTTCGTCATGCTCAGTCGGTCGACCAATCATATTCGGGTTTTCTCGGGCATTCTGTAGCGGCACAGTAACTCACTTATAAAGTCCGCTTGCAAAGGATTTCAGTTCAAAGCACGCACACGTTCTGGGGATACTATTTGACTGGATCACTTTCTCTTTTTACCTGAAAAAGTTACAGCAAATCATCAGCTGTTGCTCGAGTGTGGAGACGCCTGCAAACAAGACAAGGTTATTATACAATCTTTCAGAAAGACATATGCATAAAGACATTATCTCTCCAAACGGCTTTGTGCAGTTGACAGCTTCTTTGCAGGAGCAAAGAGCGTCTACTGTTACTTTTTTCTCCACTTTTGGACATTTGAAAGACTTTGGTCGTACTTTCATATTTCGTGCGTATTTGTGAGACACATTTTTTCGTATGAATCTACTCGACCCCTTCCTGAAAATGACAGACGAACAAGACAAATGTCTCTCAGACGCACCGAGTCCAAGTATGTCCGAGGACTCTGTGGGATCCCCATGTCCGTCCGGCTCTGGCTCCGACACCGAGAACACCAGACCGTCAGAGAACGGACTGCTGATGGGTCCGGATGGCCCCCTCGTGGAGTTCAAGAAGGACGACGATGACAAGTTCCCTATATGCATCCGCGACGCGGTATCCCAGGTCCTGAAGGGCTACGACTGGACCCTGGTGCCAATGCCAGTCCGTGTGAATGGATCTAGTAAGAACAAGCCCCACGTCAAGAGACCGATGAACGCGTTTATGGTTTGGGCGCAAGCTGCCCGGAGAAAGCTGGCTGATCAGTACCCGCATCTCCATAACGCTGAGCTGAGCAAAACTCTGGGGAAACTGTGGAGGTGAGTCTCAGTCCTCTCTGTCATTACTTCCACATTTTTATTTCGCGTGGCAACGCGTTTGTGGTCTTATTACTGAAACAAATTTCTACTCCATTCTACTTTTACCCATTCATGTTACGCACGCATATGAACTCGATACTGTGATCTTGCGTCATTTAGCCTTTGAAATAAAAAGGTATACTATGCCTCATTAAAATAGGAAACTGTTTTGCTGTCAATTGAATATTTTATTTACTCATGTATCCATTTGCCTTTTACGCACAGGCTACTCAATGAGGGAGAGAAGCGTCCGTTCGTGGAGGAGGCAGAGCGATTGAGGGTACAGCACAAGAAAGACCATCCTGACTACAAGTACCAGCCCCGGCGGAGGAAGTCCATGAAGAACGGACAAAGCGAGTCTGATGACGGCAGCGAGCAGACGCACATATCACCAGGCGCGATCTTCAAGGTGCTCCAGCAAGCAGACTCTCCAGCCTCTAGCATGGGAGAGATGCACTCCCCCGGAGAACACTCTGGTAAGAAGAGAGATAATGCTTAGTGCCTATTGCAGTCAATCAATCAAATGTATTTATAAAACCCTTTTTACATCAGCAGATGTCATAAAGTGCTATACAGAAACCCAGCCTAAAATCTCATACAGCAAGCAATGCATTCAGCATGTGTTCGTCAATGTATACACATATTTGACACGTTTACTGCTGCTAGACTTTTTATAACAATACATGTGTATGAAAGTAGATTATGTGAACAGCTGAAGACTGATACTATCAGATATGTTCTCTGTGAGTTGAACTTGATATCTAGATTAATTTGACCACTTGCAAAGCTCTTATGTTTTCCTATTCAATGAAATCCACGGGTCTGCTCTTGCTCTGAGACTTGCATCACAGAAAGCCTATATGTATTCTATATGTAACCCATTCTCTCTCTCGCTCTCTTAGGCCAGTCCCAAGGGCCCCCCACCCCTCCTACCACCCCTCCTACCAAGACGGACATCCAGGTGGGCAAGGTGGACCTGAAGCGGGAGGGTCGGCCCTTACATGAAGGCACGGGTCGCCAGCTCAACATCGACTTCGGGGATGTGGACATCGGCGAGCTGAGCAGCGACGTCATCTCCCACATCGAGACCTTCGATGTCAACGAGTTCGACCAGTACCTGCCCCCCAACGGTCATCCGGGTGCTCCTGGCGCTGTCACTGGCCAGGTCTCCTACACCGGTACCTATGGCATCAGCAGCTCCGCAGTCAGCCAGGCAGCAGGGGGCGCCACAGGGCACAGCTGGATGACCAAGAGCCAGCAGCAGCAGCACTCCCTGACCACGCTGGGTAGTGGAGGGGAGCAGGGCCAGAACCAGAGGACACCCACACACATCAAGACAGAGCAGCTGAGCCCCAGCCACTACAACGATCAGCAGAGCTCCTCCCCTCCGCAGCACGTCACCTACGGCTCCTTCAACCTGCAGCACTTCAGCTCGTCCTCCTACCCCTCCATCACCCGGGGCCAGTATGACTTTTCTGACCACCAGGGCGGCACCAACTCCTACTATAGCCACGCAGCTGGGAGCCAGGGCTCAGGGCTGTACTCCTTCAGCAGCTACATGAGCCCCAGCCAGAGGCCCATGTACACCCCCATCGCAGACCCAACTGGGGTGCCCTCCGTGCCCCAGACCCACAGTCCCCAGCATCACTGGGACCAGCAACCAGTGTACACACAGCTCTCCCGGCCCTGAGGACACAATCATCTACACGAACATACACTTATATAGACTGTTAGGCATGCCCATTTTGCAGAGGGAGACTTTGTCACAACATTCCAACATTAGCTCCCAGCAAACAGACACTTGAATTTACAACAGAGGAAGAACACGACAGAGTAGGTGAAGGAGAGCTGGACTTGTAGGAACTGAAACTAGATCAGAATAGCTCACAACTGGCCTTTTAAATTTGTTTTGAGGAAATATATTTTTTAGCAAGAACAGAAAAAAAGCATTGAGAAATCCTCTGTGAGGACTTATTAAATTGTTGATATTTTTAATAGGTACTGTGTATGTTTTCTTACCTTTTTTACTCTGGCAGTTTGTTTTTTGGATATTTTTGTAGAGAAAAGCTTTATTTGTATCCAGTTGAGCAGGAAACCACTCACAGTAGTGCAGTTATCTATTCTATGGCTTCAATTCTCTGGTGGAATTTTGTACAGGCAGTAAATCTTTATCCTTTTTTGGTTGTGTGTGTTTCCTGCAGTGCATTGTGCTTACAGTATGTTATGTGCCATCCAAGAAAATAAATAACATTTTGTATTTGTGCAGTTTAGGGTTTCTCCATCAATAATTTCTCATGATTATAACATGTTCTTAGATGTAAGAGGCACATGCTGTGAATGACAACAAAATAAGTTGACGTTATCGTTTTGTGCAGGAGATTCCAGCCTTTTGCACCATTAGTGCCTAGTATATCAGAGGTTGGGTGAAAGGGTGTGTGTGGGTGTGTTACAGCATATATTATAGAAGAGAGAAGCCACAGCTGAGATTATACTTACCGTCTGACAACATGTGTTTGACAGCCACAGGAAGTGCCCTTTGACCTTTCGGGTGTCCCCTGCAGTCCATCACCACACCAGTGTCATTTTACAGCCCGCCTGCCTGCCTGCCCCCACCCCCTCTCAGTCTTAACCCTTTAATTTATTTTTTAAATTAATTATTATTTTGCATTTTATTCTTTATTTGATACTTTATACAACAAATTAATTTGTCTTAAAAATAAGTTATCTTCTGGATATTAAATGTCATATAAACCGGTCTTTTTAGCCGAGTGGGTACTTTAAAAATGGTACAAACTGTAATCACGTTTTATTTATCGTATGTAAAATCTTTTTATCTTAAATGTTTTATTTGTCATTTTTTGCTATCTAGTTGTGTACGGATTATTGTTCATTGTGAATTTCTTGAGTTTGGATTCTAAACTATGGCTGAAAGAACTGGAAATACGTTTTTTTCTTATATGGACAAAGTTTTGCAGTTAATTTCTTTTATGCTGTGGCTGATATGCTTTATTAGAGGTACGTACCAGCATTCCTGTGTTCTCTGAGGAACAGTTTTTTCTACATCCTACCACATACTATCTCAGTAATGATGTTTCTTTCTGATACGTCTGAACAATTCGTTTTCTTCAGCTATCTTAACATGTTACTGTACTTTCTTAAAAATAAGCTTACCTTTTGTATTGTATTTGCAATAAAAGAGAAAATACTTTAGAAACAAAATGGTTGTTGATATTTTATTACACATAACATATTAAATAGGGTGGGGGAACAAGGACTCTCTAGTTAAATTCATAACATTTATACCAACCAGGGGTGCAACTTACACTGGGGACGGGGGTGGACATGTCCCCTCCACATTCTGAAATTGCATTTTTGTCCCCCCCCCCCCCCCAGTTTTATCATTGGAATGTGATACAAAACAAGGCAACGGTGTGCTTTAGGACCATGCGGACGCCTCCGAGAGGTCGGGTAGGCTGTTTGGAGTGTTTATCCGACTGGATAAAATAATAATAAAAATATACATATACAGTGCCCTCCACTATTATTGGCACCCCTGTTTAAGATGTGGTCGAGGACTTCCAAAAATTCTCTTTTTTTTTTAAACAACATAGAACCCAAATGCAAAAAAAAGAGAAAAATCCAACCTTTTATTTAAGTACATTACTTTGGTGTAAAAAAAAAATCACACATTTAGAAAAAAAAAAAACTTGAAATCATGTGTCCCACAATTATTGGCACCCCTGATGTTAATACTTTGTACAACCCCCTTTTGCCAACAAGACAGCACTTCATCTCCTCTTATAACATTTCACAAGATTGGAGAACACAGAGAGAGGGATCTTTGACCATTCTTCTTTGCACAATCTTTCTAGATCATCCAGTGTCCTGGGTCCTCTCTTATGCACTCTACTCTTTAGCTCGCCCCACAAGTTTTCGATTGGGTTGAGGTCTGGGGACTGAGATGGCCATGGGAGGACCTTGAGTTTGTGACTGCTGAACCATTTTTGTGTAGATTTTGCCACATGTTTTGGATCATTATCCTGCTGAAAGACCCAATGACGACCCATCTTCAGCTTTCTGGCAGAGGCCATCAGGTTTTTATTTAAAATGTCCTGGTAGTTCAAAGCGTTCAAAATGCCATGCACCCTAACAAGGTTCCCAGGGCCTTTGGAAGAGAAACAGGCCCACAGCATCACAGACCCTCCACCATACTTCACGGTGGGCATGAGGTGCTTTTCGGCATACTCATCTTTTGTTTTACGCCAGACCCACTTAGAGTGTTTGTTGCCAAAAAGCTCAATCTTAGTCTCATCTGACCAAAGCACACGATCCCAGTTGAAGTCCCAGTGCCGCTTAGCAAACTCCAGACGTTTACGTTTGTGAGTGTTAGTGAGAAAAGGCTTTTTCCTTGCATGCCTCCCAAACAGCTTGTTGGCATGTAGAGAGCATCTGATGGTTGTTTTGGAGACTTTGTGACCCCAAGATGCCACTCTTTGATGCAATTCTGTGACAGTGAGCTTAGGACTTTTTTTTACTTCTCTTACCATCCTCCTCACTGTGCATTGTGGCAAGATAAACTTGGGACCTCTTCCAGCCTTGTTTGTCACTGTTCCAGTTGTTTTAAACTTCTTAATGATTCCTCTGACTGTAGATGCGGGCAAGTTAAGGCGAGTGGCCATTTTCTTGTAGCCATTGCCTGACTTATGAAGGTCGACACAAATCTGCCTTACTTGAATGGTGTGTTCTCTTGTCTTTGCCATGTTGACAAATGGGTAAGAGAATTAGGCCTCTGTGTCACGTCATATTTATACCCCAGGGAAACAGGAAGTCATGAATTACATATTAAAAGTTCCTAGATACCCTGACCAACTTTAGCAACTACAGAAAAATATATTTTTAAAAAAAATCAATTAAAAATTTCAGCTGAATTGTTAGGGGTGCCAATAATTGTGGGACACATGATTTCAAGTTTTTCTTTTTCTAAATGTGTGATTTTTTTTTTACCACCAAAGTAATGTACTTAAATAAAAGGTTGGATTTTTCTCTTTTTTTGCGTTTGGGTTCTATGTTGTTTAAAAAAAAATGAGAATTTTTGGAAGTCCTCGACCACATCTTTAACAGGGGTGCCAATAATAGTGGAGGGCACTGTATATTATGTCCCCCTCACTTCTAAAACTAAAGTTGTGCCCCTGATACCAACCCAATATCAACATCATTGTTTTAGTGTTCAGTCATGTTGAGACAGAGAGGTAGACAGAAAGAGTTAAAGATAAAGAGCCTGAGAGAAGGCGGTTCTCTCAGAAGCCTTGTTTTTCTCATTTATTTTCTGATGCTTTCTCTTCTGTCAGCTGGAGCAGCAGGGGGTCCCTCCTCCCTCCAGTCTGCATGTTGTAAGACTCTAGATCTTTGCTGGGGGAGGCTACTTGGCAGAAAATCAGTAAAACCGTGAAAAAAAAGTTCAAATTTAAAGCAGGGGACTTTGCGTCCCTTCCAGCAAAGCTCTCTTTAAAGATATTCAGTGCTGCCATCCTTTAAAGGTCAACTCAAGGAAATATTGACTAGCTTCACCACACCAGGGGATCAATTGCCATTTTCCTATTCTCTACTACTATAAATCACACATTTTGGAAGCTGTTGTGATTGTTGAAACCACAATTTAATAGTATGTACACATGGCATAGGAGGACCATAAAATAGGATTTTATCCATGTTATTGTATGTTTTTAATATCAGAATATTTATTAACCTCATTGTTTGACACAATTTAGTTGTATATGGCATCCATCGTTGTTTTTGATCCATCTAATCATTTGCATCTTTTTGAGAGATTATGTTGATTCTGGCAACTGTGTTTTACTTTTGTTGTTACCTTGCAAACATCATGCAAAGCCAAATCCCCTGTGGCTTAGGGTAGAGAAGTGAGAACGATTTCGACAGTGTGTTCGGCCTTTTAGTGTGAGAGAAAGATGCCCCTTCCTGAAGTGAAACTACCACTCCAGCTGAAGTATCCACTTTCCCATGTATGTAATGTAATTACCATATTATTTTGCAGTCACTGACAACTGCATAATTATTTGTATTATCATATTACATGATCTGGCTGTACACTTATAACTCATTGGCTGATCAAGGTGGGAGGAGGATATCTAGCACCTGTGTCCAGCGATCCAATTGGAAGACATCAGTTTGGCACCGGACAGGTAGGAAAGAGGGGGAAAACGAGTAATGGGAAGGATGAGAGAGGGAGAGAGATGACTTCAGTTGAAAGCAGCAGCGAGACCCATCTGAAAAAGCCATCAGTATCCCTGCTCTTCTAATGGGGAAATGGTGGGACTTGGGAGTAGACAGATGACATATTACACATGTATGTTTTCCCCCGCCAGTGCGCTCCCAGGCCAAGTCACATGTATGTTTTCCCCCGCCAGTGCGCTCCCAGGCCAAGTCACATGTATGGGCTCAGTCCCAACAGCGCACTGAAATAAGATGAACGGTCTCGCCCTGTGACAAGAGGGCTTAGCATAATCCTCAACCCATCAACCAATCTTTATCGGGCTGTCTTCACTGAGCTGCCCTGTCTGCGTAGACCTATGGCTTATTTCTGACCAATCAGAGGGCGAGTAGAGCATGACCATATGCAGGTGTCCAATTCAATCCTCCAACGAGAAGAGACACGGTGGAGTAGATCTGTTA